GACCGGCAAAGGTTTGCAGATCAGGCCGTGAGAGGCAGTCAAACAGGCTGCTGTCGCCGCCGTCCAACTCAGACTCGGTAGCGCAGGCAGCGAGCGTTTCAATCGCGTGGAAAAATCCCATCAAGGAAGGTCGGGACTGCAGGTTGGAGAGAATTTCGCGCAGTTTTTGACGTCCTAGACAAGGAGATTAATGGCTGTCAGTGAAACCCGGCATGTTTAAGTACCAAACGGTCTGTCCATGAGACAGAGGTGATCGTTAAGAAGGCACTCGACTTTGAATAGGATCCTGGTTTATCGGGATGGTTTAATGCAAAAAGCAGTAGTGCACAAGGCAATATATGTATGTGGTCGTCTGTTTGAGGCACCTAGCTATCCACAAGAAGTTTGTTTGCTTCGGGAAGCCAATTGGATCGGTGTTCGCACATTACTGAGTGAACAAAGGCACAAAGACATGACTGAAGAAAACAAGGGCGACTAGGATGGCCATTTCTGGCATATCAGCCATCGTCAGCTAGTCATACCAGACTCAACTGGTGTCACACCCGAGCGTCGAACTCTCGACCTCTCTGATTAGAGTCAAACGCCCTAACCATTGAGCTACGAGCTCGCTGTCTTGCCAGTATTTAATCGGGGATATACAGTGGTAGATACAAGAACGACAATCTGTTAGAGAACACACTCGTCCGTTCATGGTACCGTTGGAGCTCTCACTCGAGCCTACATCGCGAGGCGGCTAAGGACAGGGACAGGGACATTACCGACAAATATATATATCCGGTCTGCCGTGACAGTAAATGCAGGTGGCGAGGCATGGATGAACTGTGTTTCGATGAAGTGATTTTGACCCATCCGCACTATCGGTGAATGCGTATGTTTGTTTTTTCCAAATCAGCTGGTTGTCAGGGTTATGTTTGGCTGAATGAAAGCAAATAAGCCGAAACAGTTCTGTACCAAGTTACCTCAAACGCTGTCATCTCTACCTGCTATTATGACTTGGCCGGCATCGGCTTGACACGTGGTCGCCTGCTTGAGACATCTGGCAACGTAGCACGAAGTTTGTTTACTCTGAGAAGCCTCTTGGATCGGCGTTAGCTCATTCCTGAGTGAATATATATATACATATTCGATTGACTCAATTGTGAAAAAAGCAGGGCCTCTGCCGTAGTCGAACCCGCATAGCACGGAAGGTTTTTGCGCTACCAACGCTCAACCATTGAGCTACGAGGCTCACTGTGCGTCATGAATTTAATCCCACTTGCGTCGACTTATTTGTCCAGCTTTACTGTGCCTATAGAATCCGCCAAAACGGACGCAACAGGCTGACTGCCAGGCAGGATTTCCAAATTATTCATATAGGATCAACTGGACGGACCACTGTGCTAACTTTGGTTGTTAAAGGTTTTGCAGATTTCAATAATTCGATTGACCCAACGGCGAAAAATTCGCGACCTCGGCGAGAGTCGAACCCACAGAGCAGCGAAGGCTTTTTCGCAGCCAATGCTTTACAGACAGCTGTATTAACCTACCCAAAAGAAATAAGAAATAAATTAACACGAATTCAAAGACAGAATCACATTACTATCAACCAAACGTTATTTGAAATGATCGCATCAAACTGCATGTTACAAAGACCTCAGCTAAAGACAAAACCGGAGGGGTTTATGCCCGCAATAAAGAAATGGGACTCGAAATATCGTCAGAACAACATGGACTTTCTGGTTATCGCAGAAGCAATGCTAGTCATAGGAAAGGAATTTGAGAAAACAGCATGGTAAGACAACCGCGAAAAACGTCCTGCTTAGCAGGGTCCCAAAATACTAGATAGCCTGGAGATCTACATTACACAGAGCCAATGTATTTCTATGATATCAGCTGGCCTAACCTTACAGAAAGCTCGGACAAATGCGAAGCGATCTAGCGGAATCGGTGTAACTGTGACTATGATAATTTTGCAGATGGCGCGAGCTAAAACAGCCTAGGAGCGGTAAAGCGATGGTATTGCTTCCTGGAGCCGCAGTTTAGCAATGACCTTGGTGGATTGCAAAAGTGATCTTTAAAGCGAGGGTATTTGCACATCAGGCAAGCAAAGATAACGCAGCCAATCGATGGTGGCAAGTACCTTCCTGTTTCTCCTCTGTCTCTATGAAAGTTGTGGCGAGTTTGAGGTTAAAAAAGGACCATAAAAGAGTGGACTCGGAGGAAGTTAGATCATCGCCGGACTGTTTAAGCATGTCTAGGAGGTCAAACAGAATGTCGCGGATTTTGTATTTTGACGCGAAAAGTTTGGTGTCGTTCGGGGCATAGGTGTCGGGTGTGCATTCCAGATGGTATAGCTCCACAACCTTTCTGGAGGCCCGCCTTTTTAGATTCGCCAAGGTATCCGACATGGTGCACTGAAATGCAAGAAGGTTAATATCATAAAAAGATGTGACTTTAGGTACTTGGAAGAGTATTAACATTTACTTGGAATCCGTGCCAGCCCACCCAGAAGGGGATAATTTAGTCCACCTCCAGGTCGAAAGTCTTCCCCCAACCGTATGCGGTAGGCGGACAAGACTTGAACAGCCA